GCATTTGAAGTACACTTCGAATTGGGACAGCCGTCGTCGCGTGGCGGTGACGTAATCGCACTTGAAATACGTACTTCAAGCGTGCAGACCCTGAATTGGGACAAAGCACTTGTGTGCAATCTACAACTAAGCGCGGCCTGGTGCGCGCCGCTCCGCCAGGTGAGCTGAATTAGAGCAATCAAGGGCTGGCGTGCCTCGTAGACCTTAAAATGCATGCAGCAGCCATTTGACCCGGGTGCAACATACTGAGAGGACAGCAAACAAAGCACAATCCACTTTCCACTGTTTCATCTTCGTTTTTTGAAATTACTCAGCTCTGTGATTAAAAACCAATGAATGTAAAACTAACTTAAACTGGGTTAAATGATAGTTTAAACAAAAGTATTTAGCTTTAGCTATGTTAAGTGGCTTTACTGAAGTGTATATATTTTTGTTATTTCATTTGTATTCTGTATGATGCATTTAATTTATCTGAATGATTAATGAAATGTTCTTTATTTTTTGTGTTGAGAGGTTTTTCACCTATCTATCTACCTGTCAGCTATCTAACTAGCTGGTCAAAATAAATTGAGTGAAATTCAAAGTCTGGTCTTTTTCAAGTGTGGGCACCTCACAGACAGAGAACACTTGACACAGTGTTCACAGATGAGAGATGAGCAGGTGTTCTTTCATGAGAGGTTATTTGGAGGCAAAGCCTTCACGGGATTCTGTGTAGCCCTGTGAAAAACTAATAATTTCCAGAAGCACCTTTAGCAGGAATAAGTGGAAGTAATCATTTTCTATATGACTTTATCATCCTCTCACATTGTTGTGGAGGTATTTTGGCCCACTCGTCTCTACGGCTTTGCTTCACTTCATGAAGGTTTGCAGGCATTCATTTTATGAACAGCATTCTCAAAAATAGGACTGTGCAATATGGCCAAGTACCTCTAGTTTGGTGTCATTCTTCCAAAGGACATCTGTCCTAGAAGTCTTACAGTTTGTTCAGATCCAATTTTTCAAATCTGAGCCGTCCTGCCATGTAGTGAGAGGAGGCTTTGTTTTGGTTTGTTTTGTCCTGGTAATCCATCCAAACGAGTTATACTTGTTCTAATTTTACTCTCATGAAATTTAACCCTTACCTAACACCTGAAAAAAAAAAAAAACAGTTCACCTGTAACAACAGAAAACAAAAAGGCTATGCTCTAGAGATCACAGATCCAATAGTGCAACAACCCACGGGTCATGTGAACTTATTTGTCAGTGTTACAGAGGCAGTACTGCAAGATGCAACACTGTTTTTAGTAATAAGAAACATAGGGCTGGACTGGAATTTGACAATAATTTCATTGGGAGAAAATTTTATTCACAGGTCAGGAAAACTCTGGAAAGATCTGCATGGACAAGTATGGATGCGCCTGGAACTTTCTCAATCATCTTAGTTTTATTGTTACAAAGCAGTTGCTCCTTTCTCAATGGCCTGACCTTCAACTTGGAGCACAGACTGTTTTTGAGTTGAAATTGAAGTGAAATGTCCTGCACTTTGGATTATTCTGCAGGTTTTTAGTGCCTCTGCAGAATGGATGGGCAGGGTGCTCACTCATCTTTCTTCTCCTGGGAGTTTGGGTAAGTGTCCCAGGATTTTCAACACCTGCTAAACGGGAGAACAATAGGTAAGATGGAGTGGGGGACTTCCTTGTGAGTTTTTCAGGTGTTTAACTGGGATTTATTTTTGGGGTTTAGATTCCCAGAATATGATTTTATTTTGTATGAGTGGCATTTTTTTGTAAATATTTATATTTTAAGTAATGAAAATAGAAAACTGGTTTTATTGGCATTTGTTAATGTGGAAACACCCTTTCTTATGTGGTAGCAGTAAAATGAGGTGCAAAACAAATAATTCATGTGGCTTTAAATACAAAATGTTCGAGAAATAAATCACGCAACCTTACTTTGCTTCTGCCCTTATAATTCTGAAATGTACAGTATTGTATTTATTTCCTTGTGGCCTGCACTTTAAAACACATCGAGTTGGATAAAGACAGTTTTTGTAGTTTTGCGTCTGCACTGTACACTACCACAGAGGCTTTTAAATCAAACAATAACTGATTGAAGTGCTGACTTTCGGCTTTAGGAGATTTAACAAAATAATGCTTTAACTTTTAAGGAATCGTTGCCATTTTTATACACAGCCCCTATTTTGTTGGAAAAGTAATCGAACAAATGACTGACAAGCAGTTTCGTGGCCAGGTGACGCCTGATCCCTTGTAAATGACAAATGTAGTAGACATAAGAATGATTCAAAGTGTTGAATTTATATCTTACACAAATCAAAGTCTACAGCTTGTTACTGATATTTTAATTGAGACCTAAGGACACATCAGTGTCAGTGAGCAAGCCCTTTATTCTGCTGAAAAGAAAAAGACTAAATAAACCATCAGAGGCAGTAAAGACTTTAGGAATTGTCAAATCAACAAACTGGTACGTTGTTAATAAGAATAAATGCACTGGCCAGCTCAGGGCCTGAAAAACCACAAAAGACAACTAAAGTGCACGACGACAGAATTATTTGGTTAAGAAAAACAGCCAAAGCATTTCTAAAGGCAAAGAAATGGGATATTATTCAGTGGCCAAGTCAGTCATAATCCTACAAAGCATGCTTTTCAATTATTAAATACACAAGCTGAAGGCAAAGAGGCCTAAAAACAAGCAGCAACTGATGGTGGCTGCTGTAAAGGCCTGGCAGCCAGCATCTCAGTGAAGCAAACACATTTAACAATGTCAAGGTTTTTTAGACTTAATGCTGATGGCTGAAAAGGATTTTCATCAGTTCTGAGCCTCTAAAAATGGGGGACTGTATATGAAAATGACTAATTCCTAAACAGTTAATGCAAAATTTTTGTAAATCCCCTTGAATAAAAACTGAAAGTCTGCACATCAATCACAATGACTGATTTAAAATCCACTGCAAATATTGTGTCTTAAACTGCATTTATGTACTTCTCCATCTACACACACATCTATAAGTGTGCATGTATGTAAACTCTGGCTGCAGGAGCAGAATTGAGGAAACAGTACCCCCTTGTGTTTTTTCTTCTTAGTACATGGTAGCTTTGTGTATTTAATAAAATATGTTAATTTGTTAACTAACAGTCCATAACCACTTATATAACGGTGCAAAAATATTTGTATTTCAATTCTGAGCTGCTTGCTATCCAGATGTGAAATCAGTGGCAATTAATGAATCGTAATATTAATATAAATTTATTGCTCAAAGATGCAGAGACAAAAAGTAGACCCAGAGACAAAACTGGACCCATGTATCGTACATCATGTTGTGCAACTCATCTGTGATTCACAAAGAAAAACAAATAAGTTAAGATATTTGCAGGAAAACAAATCTTCAATGTCAAAAAACAATATACGAAACAGACCGTCGATCACTGCGCACAAAAATGAAATACAAGTTTAGTTTGACCTGATCAAATCCACAAACTTGCGACATCAGTTACCTGCACTACAACCCTGTCTAGACGAGTGTCAGCTCAATCCTGGATAGCGACAGCGATGCTACAAAAGACTGTTAAAGGCTGTACTTTCATAAGACCTTTAAACACTTAAGCAACACATAGCATTTATACTTTTTAAACATAACATGTGGACGCTCTCCAAAACTGGAAACAACTGGATAAAAACCAAAGCTACACTCTTCATGCCTCAACATGTTGCATGGATTTTATATAAGTAATTGGGCCTTCAAAAAAAAAGTATTTATACTTTATGAATTTCTCGTGGTTGTAATAGTGTCATAAAACCTGAAATCTTCTCAAACGGTTCTCGAATCATGATGTAATATTTTAAAATCAGTAATATGCGCAAAATTACATGAAGGTAATTTTGTTTCCAGTTCATGTTAAACTCTTAAGGATGAACATGGCTAAATGTGAAAATATTAAAATACAGCTAGGGAGTAGAAGATAATCCAAGTTAATCCATTAAGTTAAGAAAAAAAAAAAATCAATCTGAAGAAGCTTAAACTGATCAAAAGAAAACATTCAATGTGTAAGAGCTACTAACAAAATACTTAATGAATATAAACTTTCATAGTTTTCAGAGGTACACAAGTTTGAGAAAGGTCTGGAAGAAATTAAGAAAAAAAGAAACATCAATTATGGTCATTCGAGATTTGTGGTAACTCTCCAGTCCCCAGTGGAGGACACACACAAACACAGAAATGTACAGACAGATTATAGCAACATGAAAAAAAGAAAAGAAAAAAAAATAGCCAATACAGTTCAGACTTTTTTTTCCAGACTTGCCAGGAGTTGTTAACAGTGCAATTACTGAACCCTCGGTTAGAATATGATCAACAGATTACGCACTATCACAGGAGTACATTTAAACAGGTTGACACGAACCATACAGAATGAATTAACACTCCAAATGAAGCAACTAAACTAAATGACTGAGCAAAGTAAAAGAAAAGCACAAAAAAAGGATAAACACTCTAAACATGGGGTTGTTTGAGAAAAATCTATTGTGCAAGTTGACGCATTTATTACACCGAGACAACTGTGCATGTCTTTACACAAAGCCAAAACGAACACCATATCTTATGTTGTTGCCTCCTATCTAAGAAGCTCAGGTTAAATGACACTGAGCATGTCAGCTTTATGACACAAGGTGGAGTGAAAGTATCTCTCTCTCCTCAGTAACAGTCTCTCTGGCCTCATGGCCTGTGGACCTGCAGATTCTCCTCAGCTACATTTGCGCTGCACTAAAGTTCATCCCTGTAGGCAACTGACAGCATCTCGGGTGCCGGGGCAGCCCCTTTCAGGGTCTTGTGGGAGCCCCTCCAATCAGTCCTCACAGAGTCATCATCCCACAGGGTCGATGTCTCTGTGTCGCTCACCCACTGGGGATCACCGGCGTAGTGACACGGCTGGACCAGCAGGGGGTGCGCACTGAAGGCTTGTAAGTTTCTATTGGGGAAGTGGGATTTGTAGTCCTCGCTGCAGAGGGAGCACAAAGGCAGTGTTTACACTGGGTAAAATCATTCGAAACTTAAAAACACAGGATAGGATGTCACAATAAAGAAAAAATAACAAAAATAACAGCACTGGAACTGCAGATAGAAGTTTTGTTTTTTTTTTGGGGGGGGGGGCAGTTTGAGCAATTTTTCACCATTTACTGAAATGTTAAATATAAACATCAGGGATATTTTGTGATTTCATTACACTATACTGATTTGACAAGAGATGGTGACAACAGGCCAATTTCAGAGATGGTTCAGTTACTCTTGGCATGAAGGGCAACAATGCATGGGGTGCATTTGTTGAGTGTTCTCAGCAGACTAGTCAAGCATATCAAATCAGAATCACAGTGGTGTGAAAAAGAGAGAGAGTGCAGAGAAAGCAGGCTGGCTATAGGCCAGATTTCCACACATGATGGAGCACACAGACACTGCCAGGCCTTCTGGTTTGCAGATCCTTTGGCACAAAGTGCATTTCATTTCTTAGAGTTAGTTCCTGATGACGAGAACAGTTGCCTGGTTGGGGAAACTGTCAAGGATATCATTGTTACAGTCAGAATTTGATTCACCCATTACGCTAATAATTTAAAGATACATTTGGAGGTGACGTCGATATTTTATAGACCTCCAACAACCATCTAGCATAAAAAAGAAGCTTTACAGATGATGGCTCTGCGTCAGCAGTTGAAGGATCGCCAATGTGGTTAGACTTCCTTTGTACGGAGAGACAAACGCGCATTTTTATTGCATCAGACAGTCGTCTGGACCTTTGCAACCAAAAATGTGAACCTTATAGTGATGCCAGATGAACGCTAAGGGATAACCATAGTCATCATGGTGGAGAAAAACCATGGATGTCTGTATTATTATGGCAGTAGTTAAAACTAAACAACAACATCTGCGGTTGAAAAATAAAGCCAATGATTAAAAAAGCAGTTCCAACAATGGCCACTGGAGGCTTGCTCCCAAAGTGAGTCAACCCCATTGACTCCAATGTTAGTAGGCCAACTTCCAACCAGAAAATACAATTTCCCCTTCAAGGCCTTAGCTATTTAGAGTGACTGAACTGTCTGTGCTCTAGTTATGGTGCATATAATAGAATATTTTTAGTGAGCTTTAATTAGCAGGTATCTATGTCTGTGACAAATTCACATTATGCAACTTGTCAACTATCCTACCATCTTTCATTTCTTGACAATAGCTCATTTCTATCTGCCAAAGCTGAATATACATGATAAATGATAATAGCAACCACCTATCAATGGGCTAAAATTATTCTTTTTTGTGATTATACACATACAACACATTATTAAAGTATCATTTTGATTTCGCAGCCAACGGCATAAACAAACCAAAAAATGCTGTAGTTCTACATATAAGGCTTTAAAATTAAAGTCCCCAAACAAATGACTGATATTAGTGTGGCAGCATAATTCTTTTATATCAAATCTGTAATAAAGAAACTTTGATGTTGCAGCTTAATTTATTTATTTTTTTTACCAAAGTAAGTACAGACCATACTGTGAGTGCCACAAACACTGGTATAAACTTAAATAACAAACCATAGAAATTTAAGTATGGACTAAAATAGTCTGGACTGACCATACAGTAATTGTAATTGTGTAATTCATGGAGAAAGGCAACAACATAGGCTTGGAAAAAATATATATATCTTCTTTACCACAAACAAAACTGAGTCCACTCTGGCTGCTCACATCTGTCTGTCACACTGTGTTTAAGAAAATGTCAGCCCACACTGACAAAAATTTAGACCATTAATCCCAGAAAGAGATGCAGACACGAGGCCTGTGCATCATAAAAGGAAAATGCTGAGAAAGATTAAATCTATTTTGAAATGTGGTGCACTAATTCAGCTTGACAAGCACAACATATCAAAGTGACTTCCTTTCAGAAAAATGCAGTGAAGTAAAACCCCAGACTTCCACATAGTTCTTTAATCTATACACTCCAAACAAAACTAGGCTAAATATAAAGCACGTACACATGTTTAGGCAGCTATAGAAAAGAATGTTTTTAGCCCTGAGGTCTGTTTTAGTTTAAACGGTCTCGCAGGAGAAGGAGATTAAAGAGTGCTGAAGAACAGGTTTCATTATAGAGGTCACTGTATGGAACATACAAAAAGAAAACCAGAAAAACTTCAAAGTGTGCAGAGAGTAGCATGTAGTAGCAAATAAGTGTATTTTTGACACTTTTTTATGATACATACTTCGGATGTTTGTCGTACATAATGGGGAGGAATTCATCGACAGGCAGCATCTTGGAAAGTGGCTCAGCATTGAGGAGTTTCTGGGCTCCCTGTAGGGAGATGGCGTAGGACAGAGTCCAATACGAGTAGTCGGCCATCACCAAGTTACGAATGTTCTCCACTGGCTCCTCCTTTCCAGGATTCACCTGCTTTCTGCCCAAGTATCTGTGGCAACATAAAGCGATCATAAGAACTAAAGAAGTTAAAAAAAAAAAAAATCAGCCACGGGGAAGAAGCAGCAAAAACCCAGTATGGTCAAAACGTGATTTTTACAATCAAACTTCACCTTGCCGTTCTTTTCTGCCTAGCAGGCATAAAACATTTTTCAGCACATGCTCTGCACGTGCATTTTCCTCCCAAATATGTATGAAAAAAGAAAGTGCTAACGTCACATGTTTAATTATTTTGGATGAGCTTTAACCATGGAGCTTGGGATAACAATTCTATTAGGGTTTTTTTTTTTTTTTTTTAATTAAATGATTTTTTTCTCCTAATATGAGAAAAAAAAAAAAATCACCCTACTGGACTTCATGGTTCTGCGCAGTACACAAAATGTTAATGGTTATAGCAAATATGATTGCTCTACAAAAATATGTTCCATTAAGTTATTGTATATCATAAATTAGTCCCAAATTCTACACTAGAAAAACTTCAAACTTTGTCTGGAGTTTTGTCTAATCCCGTTTGTATGATTTCAAATAAAACCAGCAAACTATATCAAAGGGTACAAATGCACTTTGGACTTTATAATGAACCTAACCTGGGCTTTCTTACCTGCGTCTCATTTAACCTTAACCAAAACAGGAACTGGACTGGAAACTAGGAGTAAAATGTGTCTTACATGATGTCCCAGTCCAGCTCCACCTGCTCCACATCCTGCATCATTTTGAGTATTCGTCGCTTGAAGTTGGCCTGAAAGCGAACATCGTCTTCAAAGACCAGGGCCTTATCCATCTGCATGTCCACCATCTATGGAAAAAGAAGTATACACACTGTAAGCCTGACCTGTTAAATAAATCAAAAGGTTTGTGTCATAAAAGCAGGTTTTTATTTTGCATCCATCTTCTTTACAAACATGACTCTTGGTTTTCAGCTGAGTGCAACTATTTTCATTTACAGTCGTGAAAAAGAAAGTACGCCTTCTTTGAATTTTAAGGTTTTACATAAAAATAATCTGGTCCTTAGCAGTTCTTATGTAAATGCAAATAAATGCAGTTGTCAGATAAACAACCACGCATTATATATTGCATCATGTCATTATTGATTGTATGAGAACAACTCCATAATGCAGAAGCTAAGGACAACTTACTTAGATATGAATTAAGAGGGTAAATAGCAGCCAGGCACTGTGAATCAAATACACTTAGGTGAGCAGGTGTGAGCACTTACATAAAAGCAGATGTTTTGGCAGTTTGGTGGTATGGAGCCTTCAGGTGTGTGTTAACACAATGTCAAGAAGGAAAGACATCTTACACATGACCTTAAAGAAGCAATTGTTGCTGTCTTTTGTCTTGGAAGGGTTGTGAAGCCATTTTCAATCATTTTGAAGTCCATTTTTTGAAAACATTCAGTACAGCTGACAATCTTCCTGTGGACATCCCAGCAAATTCACCCCAAGGTCAGACTGTACATTGCTCAGAGAGGTTGCAAAAAAAACAAAACAAGAGCTACATTTCAGACTCTACAGACCTCAGTTAGCATGTGAAATGTTAAAGTTTATAACAGCACAGTCGGAAAAAAGGCTGAAGAAGTACGGCAAGTTTGCAAGAAGAAAGCCTCTTCTTGGCAGCACGGCTTAGGTTTGCAAACTTACATCTAAAGAAACCCACAAGACTTCTGGAACAATGTGTGGTGGACATATGACACCAAAGTGAAGATGTTTGGCCATAATGGAGGCTAATATGTCTGGAGAAAACCCAAACACAGCACATAAACCTCACACCAACTGTCAGCACAATGGTAGAGGGGTGATTATTTGTGCTTTTTCTACAACCACAGGACCTGTGCTGCGAGTCAGTTAGAAACTCCTCTGTATACAGATCATTCTAGTGTTAAATATGAGGCCTTCTGTCCAAAAGCTAAAACCTTTGGGTCATGCAGCAAATCTACAACAATATGCCTGAAAAAGAAATAAATCAAGGTGTTGCAACGGCCGAATCAAAGTCCAAACCTCATCTCCGCTGAAATGCTGTGGTGGACTTTAAGATAACTGTGCATAAATGGATGCCTGCAAACCTCAGTGAAGTGAAGCTGCGTGCTGTAAATGAGAGCGGGCCAAACTTCTTCCACAATGATGTAAGACACAGATTAAGTCATCCAGAAAACCACTACTTCAAGTTATTACTGCTAAAGGTGGTACTAAAAGCTACTGAAGTTGATATAGAAACACTTAGAACTCAAAGAAGCTTTTGTTTTCACATGACTGTATCATAATATTGTAAAAAGGTGATTTGCAAGGACTGTGCTATGCTTTCTTCCTATATGGTATACTATGAAGTATATATTAAAATATTTGAGTTTTAACTTCAGAAAAGGGATTTGACAAATGTGTGACAGTGTGTGTCCTCTCACCTCCTTCCAGATGTAATAGTGGCTGAGGAAGCAGCCCACTTCTCCTTTGGTCAGAGTGCGTCCAGAGAATGGGTCATAGTATCCTGGCAGCAGGTCGACACCCAAAATCTTAATGTCACTGCTGTTCAGTGCACTGCACACACACACACACACACTTTTGTTTTAGGTAATTCTGTCTTTGATAAGAGAAGAGCGTTCAAATTTGGAGCATACGTAGCCATAACGCTGATATTTATTATAAACCACAAGTGTCTATATTTTCAAGATAAGAATTGAAATTGGCCTCACACCAAGAGTCTGAATTGACACGGTGTTACATTTCTTGACAAACGTAACTATAAAACTGAGAGAGGAAAAGAGCTGAGAGCAATCCACTCACTTTCCATCCACGGCATCGACCACTTTGACGTCAATCTCAAGCTCGTTTAGAGAGAACAACATCCTGTCTCTGCGGTCAGCACGCCGTCGCAGGTTAATCAGATAAATCTGTGGAGGACATGGGCAACCCAGAACGTTATTTAAATCTGGACACTGTGTACCATCATCATAAATCTTTGAGTTTCATCAAATGGGTCGACTGCATATTCGGCATGTTTTCAAACTCTATTCACTCAGTGAAAACATGCATCATAATTGGTCTGAATCTTGCTGAATATAAAGTACTACCTAAAAAGTTGATGTATAATTATATTATATATTACACATAATTACATCCATGCTTTCATTACTGCATAGAACAAGCCTGTATAAGGTTGGGTTAACCTTTCTTACACAGTAACTGAAAAACCTTGAACTGGTTCACCTACCTCATCAAATCCCAGGAGGTCTCTCTGTTTTGGAAACATGTGGATGAAACGGGAAGGGTACATGGGTGGCCCGTCGACTTTTCCACAAACGGGGGTGGGGGTGGGGGGGGGTGTAAAAGAGAGGTGAGCTGATGTGCCTTTTTTTTAAACTGTCATTATTTGCCTTTAGTATTACAAATCATCTATGCTCTTACTCATAGACTCAAGGTGAACATGGACAAAGTTGAGACGATCGTCTTCTAAGGTGAAGTGCGGTTTGGCTGGAACGTTCAGGTAGCCGTAACGCTCCTTGTTGCACAGGTACACCTGTATCTCTGAATAGCAACGAAAAGCAATCATTTAATAAATTATAAACATATTTATTCATGCATATTTTCAACACTGAGTCCTGAAATATACAAATATTCTACAGTGAAGCAAGCGCAGACGTGATTTAGTGCAACAGCTGTGTTGAGTAAACCTGACTGCTGAACATAATAACACACAAGCATCTACAGACCTGCAGCCCGACAGGAGAAGGCGAAAACAATAATATCGTCGTAGGGCCACGAGTAGTCCTCATGAGGAGGATAGAAAGCAAGTTTTTTCATGCCCTCCTTCCTCAAATCCAGCAGCAGGGTGCTGTGGACCATAGGCACAGGGAAGCAGCCCACTCGGTGACGATGACGAGTGGGGAAGTACTCTGCTGTTCGACGATAATATCCCTAAAAAATTGAGATATTTTAAAAAATATGCTTACTTATGTCCTAGATCTGTGTCATTTTTCTGCATTATGTTCATCAAGAAAGCAACAACTATTTTTTTTCTCAAGTATTCCCCTTAAGCGGATAAATAATCACTCATTTTTAAGTGCTGCTCACCTGTGGAGTAATACCACACCAGTAGTTAGAGTACGCCCCCGGAGAATCTAACATAGGAGCGATGACTGACTTGTTTTCTGCTATCAGCAGGTTGAGGGATTCTGGATTTGTGAGGATATTGTCCGTGTCTGCGTACTGAAACACAGAGACAGAAAATACAAAGGAAAAAGTATTTTTCATTCAAATTACAGTTGCTAAGTTTTTTTTTCCTTGGATGAAATAACAGCCTCAGTAAGAAAGACATCCCATCTGCTTAATCAAGAAAGGAGATAAAATGAAACTTATCACAAGAAAGGTACCAAGATATAATCAGCCCAGCGTTTCCTGGCAAAGTTGAGCGCTGCTTGTTTCAGCTTCATCACATATTCGTATCTGCTGTTGGGCCAATGCTTAGGACCCAGCTCTCCAGCATAGGACCTAAGACACACAGAAGTACAGTATTATTAGGGGATATAATACTATATTGGTAAAATGTTGTATAATTTGCCACGTGAAGCAAATATGTGATTGGCTGAATGGTTTCTATTGTAAAAAGCAAAACAAAACAAAAACAGCATCGCTGAATCATGCTGGAGTGTTGACCACAGTGAATACAGCATACCGATGCTAATGGATTAAATAAAACCAGAACAGTAAATAAGTTCTGTGGTGCTGTGAAAAGAGCATAAACAGATGGATAATGTAACAGTTTCATGACTGTAGAAGTTTAGCTGAACTCACTCAGAATAAATAACTGACAGGCATAAAAGTGTCTGCTAATAGAAAGCAGAGCATCATGTACAGACAAGCCTAGATATGCTTTGTCTAACTCTTTTTTTAGCTTTTAAAATGAATACCAGATGAACTGCAGAGTTGCAGCCTACAGAGAGGTGTTAATACTTTCATTGAACACGTGGACAAAAAGAGCAAGTAAGCAAAATCAATACATGCGCAATCTGAACATTGATTGATTTATGTTGTCAATACCAGGATAACTCTTCAGTGGATCATAGATTTGCCTCCTGATGAGTAAAAGGTATTTATTGTTCCTGTCATTTCCCTTGTAGAAAGCAACTATTGAAGGTGATCTGCTTTGATCCACGTGTGCTGTAAGTTCAAGTTGCGGATGGTTCCAAACTCAAATCCCAGCAGTACACAAAGCTCAACACATTAACATTTTCAGACTTACATTGGCTTGTCCATTGGTCTCCACTCAACATAATGGTAATATTTCTGCATGACAGTCAGCCACTCCTTCAGTATGGCTGTGGTGTTATCTATGTTGTGATCCGTGGCTGCCCTGGAAAGCACAGAGAAGGCAGAGGGTGAAGTAACTGCACCAAACCTAGGGAACCTAAACTTGGCGTTGGTTCTTGTTATTACTTATTCCCCTCGTTGTGCCAGGGGAACAGTGAAATCTACATCATGTGAATTTTTCAGCTCCTCGTCATGCCGGTGCAAAATTCATGCTGCATTCCCACTCTCATTGGTAAATGTCAAATTATTTGCTGACAGGCTTATTTGATTCAGTGCCCAATACTGATGTTCAGCCTGTGTATTACTCGATCAACAAACAAAACCAAATACAATACAAAACAACACAATACAAATGATTACTACTTATTTGAGCAGAATTTTTCAGGTCTGTAAACATTTTAATGTTGTCTCTCGGTTCCACTGAATGATCTGAACAATCATTTTCTGCTTCTCTGGTTTACGGTACACCACAAGGTTCTATTTTGGGGCCTTTACCATTTTTGTCACATCTGCTCCCTTTTCAGCACATTTCCATCACTTTTAAGGACATTTCTTATCACTGCTAGATAGACTGGCTGTCAAATTTCTTCAACTTAGTGAAGAGAAAGCAAAAATCCCATGACAGATTTGTGCTGAAGGTAACGGAAATTCTAGATTGCCTTGCCCCTTTTGCTAAAGTTTGAATAACTTTTGATTCTGGATACTCCCATTAAAGCTCTGGTTCACTCTCGTTTTTATCACTTCAGAAATATTGTCAAGTTAGGTTTCATTGTTTCACAGTCTGAATTGGAAATCAATCAAATCATAATCAGTCTTTTATTTCATCACATCTAGATTATTGCAATTCACTAATTCAGTTCCACTTGCACCCCATTAACTTCAGTCTACTTTAAGATTCTAGTTTTGACTTTTAGAGCTCTGCATTAACAAGCACCAGCATATATCAGGTATCTTTTTGTATCCGTACATCCCTGAGGTGACTTAATCAGGACTTGCTGGCTGATATACAAATATAAAAATAAATGAGACAAATACCCCAAGAGTTTGAAGCTCTCTCCCACTGAGTCATAGCACTATGAAGTTGGTGATCTCTTTTAAAAATGAGGTTAAAAATGCACATTTTTAACCTTGCTTTTTGGTAACTTTTTTGTCTTTCTGTTTTTAGCATTTTGTGATATTCATCTTGAAAGGGGCTATATAAAGAAAATTTTGCTTTTTCATTACTTTTAACCTAATGCACTTCATGACCTCTGGGCAGAAAAGAAGAGCAAAGTGGCCGACAGTTTTTGCACTAAAATATGCATTGGATCCCGTTCCTGTCCACAGCTGTGAGTTATCTTCGGCAGTGTCACTCTAGCAAACCTTTACTTGTGGTGAAGTAGGGTTGGACAAAATGACAAGGTATATTAAAGATACTAGATATCTGTCAATTAGCAGAATGGCTCTATTGCATGACCAGGTTTTTGTTAGTCTTGTTTTTTTTATTTGTGCAAATAAGACACCACTGCAGAGTAACATCCTTTTTTTTTTTTTACTTCATCATAATATTAGGACTTCTAATGATTTCTTTAAACTCATATTTGTACAGCAACTGTAGACACAGTTAGGGAAAGTCTCTTTGAGCCATTTCTAAACAACTGCGGATTCCAAGATCATTGGTTCAAACAATTATACAAATGTAAAAGTTACTCTCATGTGTCAGCAGTTTGCCAAGGTCTGGAAGAAGACCCAAATCGTTACCCTCAGATGAGAGGAAACTGATTAGGATGTTCAGGAACAAACCAGGAACCTCCCAGGCTCAAGCCTGCCATGAACTGAAAGTTGCTGAAACACCAGTGTCACTGTTCACACTGGAGTGAGTTTTACAACACCATGGACTGAGAGAGCGCTAACCGAAAAAAGAAACCCCTGATCTAAAATCAAGACCTTCAAGCTTGACTACAATTTACAGTTACTTTCAAACACAATAACACTATCAGGTGTCAAACATGGTGCTGGTAGCATCATGCTCTGCTGCCAGTGGTAGGGGTAAACATAAAGCCTGAAATCAACAGATGGATAGTTGAAACTTGGACACAACTGAGTGTTCCAACAGGACAATGATCCCAAACACACATCCAAACTGTTATTGGAATGGATCAAGCAGGCCAACATTAAGCTTCTGGAATGGCCTTCCCAAAGCACCTACCTCAACTCTATTGAACATTTGTGGACTATGCTTAAAGGCCCGATCTGTATACAACCAATTTAAATAAACTCTACTAATTCTACTAAGAAAAGTGTTCAAATATCCGTCTGGAAGTGTGCCAGAAGCTTGTTGATGGCTACCAAGGCATCTGAGGTGCTGCTTGCCAAATCTTCTTGTGGGTGGATGTTTATTTTTGACTCTGTATGGATTAGAGAAAATCCAAAATAAAGTTCTTACTTTGTTTCAAATAAATAATTAAAAGTCAAAAATTGCCATGACTTTCATGACCATGATGATCAATATTCCCGTAGGACTCAACATACTAGAGTCATTTCCTCATATTAAACCAACAGTTAATCCTTTTCCATCGTTACACCGATTAAACGGGATCTCTTTTACTTCCTCACTAATAAACCACTCCGCGCTGTCTAAACAGCTAAATCCCAAGAGTTTGAAGATTTGAACATGCAGCATGAATTATAAAGAAGTAAAATCACTGCTGGTACAGTTACTCTATACAAACTTCACGGGACATAAAACTCCAAGCGAGCGACGGTAGGAAACGAATGCGGCGGAGTGAAAGGCAGCCTGGACTGTGAAAGGCGCAGAGGGAACAGGGGAGGGGTAGGACGCTGCTGCTTTCACAAACTAATTTAAATGCCATTGACCTTTTGAACGGCTGCTATAGACGGATAAAAAGGAGACCCCTCGACAAACAGCCTGGCAGTCCACGCAGGAAACCCACCACACAGAGATGCGATCTTTGGGGTAGTTGAGTCTCTCCAGAGCTCCGAGGTAGTACGGCAGGGAGTGACCAGTATTTCTCGCTATGATAGCGATAACCACGGTTGGAGGCTGCATTTTCGACTCCTCTGGATACTTCTCCTCCGAAAAGTAACATTCAGTCTGAAAAACAAAGGCCCCCAAAGCTAGAAAGTGAAGTATCATGGTGGAGGCTGTTAAAGTCGGAAAGTAATCCGCGGGGCTCCGGAGCAGCACGTAGCCGCGGTACGCGTCAGCAGTCCAAGAAAAAAGGGCTTTCCCAAATGTTCAACCCCCCCTTCTTCATGTACAAGCTGGCCCCTTCTGAGGAGAAATGCAAACCCAATCCTAAAGCCAGAGAGGGTTATATTCCGCTGTAATAAACCTTTTCCTGTAGGGAAAAAAACAGAAAGAGGGGAAAGAGGCGTGATTTGGCCACACTGGCATTTACAGCGGTGGGATACCCTTAGAAAGATTAGAAAGATGGAGAATAAAGTTTTAAAGTTTAAGGTCGAACATCCTTAAAAATGTCATTAAAATGTTCCCAGGGATAGAAATGGGGGGGGGGCATTTAAACATGGCAATTTGTTAGTCAAAAATGTATTTATTTATTGTTTTTGAGTAAACCAGTCACAGCATTTTAAATATTCCGACCACAGTATGGGCATTTATACACACATTTAGTCTGTATGTGTGATATTCTGATACATACATCTGAACTAGAAAGGGATTTTGAATAAACCCAGCTTTGTCGTAATATGAAGCCAAAGAGTAGCAATTACAGAGATTCACCAGCAGAGGGAGGTTTTGATCCAAGAGAAGAATCATTATGTCGCGCACGTCTTCCTGAGGCCTTTGATCCTTTGGTTTTCTCAAATGCTGCAATTAGGATCAATTACGAGGTTATTTTCACATTTATTATTTTATTCTACTTAATATTTATCTTTTTAAGACGTTCTCATAGTATGTCACCTTCCACTACATTTACTCATGCTATATAGTGCTTATTTGCATGGATATAATAGTTGCAAGGTCAGTATTACTCCGTTGACATTTGCCTTATAAGAAACGCAGTGTCTGCTACAGAGACACTGAGGCTTGATGAAAAAAAAACAAAAATAACAAAAATGAAAACAAGTGTAAATGTTTTTAAGGGACATGTTCAACCTAATATTCATTGCAAATCTTTACATTTAAATAGTCTAGAGCTTTGACAGAGAAAGTTGGGAAGTTTGTGGTTTTAATCAAAGGGGACCTTCCAAATTTTAAACACAGCTTGTAACATTATTTTCCATTTTGCACTGTGGTTCTTATTTATTGCAGTCCTAGAGCTTCGAGTGGCCTGTTGACAAGAGAAGATGTACAGTAGCCTGGGTGTTCCTCAGTATATTAAAGAGTCAAAGGTCATCTTGAATGTATTGAGTGGGCAATAGAAAATTCATGGCCAATAGCCAAGTAGAAGATGCAGGGGCAGACAGATGCATTGGCTTCAGGGTGTAGGTGTGGCGGGAGAGCAGATTAAAACAAAGGATTAAAACACACTCGTACGGGGGAAATAAGCACATATAGACACTTAGATCTTCAATTGTATTTTTCGTCTAGAATAACAGTAGAAAATAAACGTGAAAAAATTTGCTTGCTCCCATGGGGCTAGTGAGTATAAGGAGGCAAATGTTTTAAAAACTGATGCTCAGAGTGCTCGGCATACAAGTGAAAATTCACTTGTATGTAAGATGGACAGGACAGAGGCTGTGCGAAAAGGGGACCGATGGGAACAGACAAAAGAGAATGGAAACGATGGAAAGGGCAGTGGAGAGAAAAAATAAAGAATGGGGAGATGCATTAGTGTGGGTGGAAAATAATAAGCAAAGTCGTATATAATGAATTTTGGCTCTTTTGGCGGGCTCTGTGAATAAACGAAGGCAGTCAAGGCTGACAATGGCAGACTTGGGGCAAAGGGGTTGTTTGTGTGGACAGGTCACAAGGGTTGAGGGTCAAATCTCTCCTATTCATGACACCCCAAGTGTTGCCACGCTCACACACACAAAAACACACGCACGCTCATGTGCACGCATACACGTATGTCAGGCTCACTTTCTCAGCGCTTGTGGCTGCAGCTGATCTGGGAGAGTTCAACCTCGGGTGCACTAACTTTTCACTGCAGGGTCAAGGGTGGAGGTGGCGTTTGTGTGTGAATCGGGGACAGACGGACAAGGAAAGCGAGAGAATGACAAAAAGAAAATCTTCATTGTTTTGACCAGATTGCAGGAGAGACTGCAACAGAAAGCTGCAGCGACACCAGGACTGTGCATGCACGCATACAAAATAATATACCTAAATCACCTCAAATGTTAGCCATCAATACTCATAGATTTAGCTCTATTTGTGCAAGTTGCAAGATACTCAAAACTCTCATATCTATACAGAACGCACATGTCCTAACTGGTCACGCAAGCCTCTATTCTATCTTTAATCTTTTCTTTGCTGGGCCAGGAAATTCTTGTCAGCGTGAGCAAATGATTGGCTGTAAGTTTGGATGTGACAAAGTGTAAGTGTTTCTGTTTTTGTGGGTTGGGACCAAAACTGGTGGGCAGCACAGAGTCGTGACATTCTCGCAAGCTTCCGGGACCTTTATTGCTGTGGCAATAATCAATAGCGTTCCCACAGAGACGTCTTTTGGCTGGGCAGGTCAATACCTGTCACTCAGGGGCTCAGTCATGGCACAGACCCTCTTACTCAGCAGCTACGGCAGCCTCGCTCTGTCTGCTCCCCACCTCGCATGTCCTCCTGCATGTGTCTCAGGAGTGTCATGTTTGCACAGTTTAAGGAGCTGTGCGGTTCATTTGAAATCATATCCAACTGAGCATCCACTTTTTTTTTCTTTGCACAGAGTACCGAGTCCAATAAAACAGACACAACAACAGTTACCATTATTGTTTAATCTCCAGAATATTGTCATTTTAAACATAATTGGGTCTGGTTTAAAATTATATGGTGCTGTTGTTAAATTGTTGTTTTCAGTATTTTGTTTTCATCTTTAGCACAAAACACCTGTTTAAGTTATTTGTTAGGTTGAAGTCTGATTGATTGTGCAATCAAAACTCATCTTTCCAAAGTAAATGTTCATGAAGTGAAACCTATATTGCAGTTTTAAGTAAGCAAGTATGTTTGTTAGCCAGCACATGTTTGCTAACTGAGTTAAATTTTACATGGAAGTAGCTCAGTTTTAAAGATGCATATCAGATGGATTTTTAGGAATCTTTACATTTACTGTTAGGAAATAATATCAGAAAATTATGTTCAGCATTTTAATTGCAATGTTGTTATTCTAGGCCTTGGATCCATGTTTTCCCCAAGAGTTTTACAGGTACTCGTTTTGTTGAAGTCTGACTGAAACGAGCATGTCTGGAATCATTTACAAACCTGCATTTCATTTCATTTTTAACTTCACAACACTCAGTCTTACAGATGTGATTTTCTGATTGTAGCTGGCAATGTGAAGAGGGGATTCTCTGGAGGTGGCAACAGACTACTGGGCCAAACAGCAGGTGTGTGTGTGTGTGTTTTCTCAGGTGCTGTTTGACTAAAGCACTTAAACAGAATTGCTTCAGTAGAAAAGGACTAGAATACCTGAAGTCCTGTCTTCATGCAACACCACCGAGTCAGCACAAACAACCTCAGGCTCAAACCGAACGCTCAGAATGCTGGCGGTAATGTGATTAAAGAGGTCAGTGACACATGATCACATCTGTTCTAATTAATATTTTTTTAAAAGCAATCAATTATTTTGATGTCTTTTATTTTTTATTGGTCGTTTTAATATAATCGATTAAGATACGTGTCAAGTTGATTCATTTTACAGAAGATGATCGCAGTTACACTGACATTGAGCCAGTTTGGTTTAAAGTGAAATAGACATTTTAAACTGAATTGAGTCAACAATGAAACATCAAGGATTTTGATTTTATTCATTTTCTAAGACATTATACGTAAATGTAATTTCATCTGAAGATCTTGACAGTAACAGGAATAATGAGTAGACCCTGTGTTATTTTTTAAATAAAATAACATTTTTAATTGGAAAACAAAATTGAATAACGTGGTGTTTGGATTTCCAGTCGACATTCTCCTTTTTATTGCACTAATGTGAAGATTTCCAGGACGCAGGACGATGTCAAAAAAATTGACAAGATTCTCTTAAAGGATTTTTTTTATTTGAATATACTAAATAAACCTTCAATAGATTGGCAACCTGTCCAAGTGTGTTCAACCTTTTGCGCTAAGACAGCTTTCCCAACACAGAAGACAATGGATGGATGGATGGATGGATGGGGATACTCTGCATTGCCATCTGCTCCAACATCCCTCCAGCAGTTATAACCTTTACATGGTGCTTTATGACTAAGGCTGGATGGACTTCCTTAAACTCAAGAAGAAGCAGCAGCATCATGTGACATGTTTACAAACCTCTACCAACGAAGATCTCAAACTAGCTCACATCTCTTCTCTATTTAAATAAAGGAAGTCCAGTACATGATTAACCTTAGATATTACCCCCGTGCACCAACCTTGATAACCTGGTTTGAGGTAGCCTACAACACACTTTTCAGAAGCGATGAAACATCCTCATACTGAGACATTCATTCATGAAGATCTTAAAACTTCATAATCTGAGTTTTTTTGTTAACATCATGCAGCTGTTTTCCTTCTTCAGTGTCTTGTTCTGTTGTTTTAGTCTGCTGGTTGTGTTCTCCCATTCATTTCAGCTTTTACTGTTGCAAAGGATATGTTCATTTTTGCCTGGTTAAATAAAGATTAAAATCTAAAATATATATAATGCAAATTTTTCATGACTTGCAAAACTCAGCAAAATTTGTACAACTGTGCAACTGAGTCATTTTTCTTTTAGTCATTCAAAATTCGACATAAAAAACAAATTATTGGATATTTTTGATCACCCTGTTGCCCCCATGATCTGTACAGTCTCGGTGAGAATAGTGCAGACTTCTTTGCTTCTCATCGTCTCTGTTGCTCCCTGGATGACGCTGTCCGTCTCCCCGTTGCCAAGCAACAGAGCAGCCACTGTCAAAGAATTCTGGGGGATGTTTAGGCAGCGGCATGCTGAGGGGGAAGGAGTGTGTGTGTGTGTGTGTGTGTGTGTGGCTGTGATGGTGGCAGTGAAGAAGTAAGAGAGTAAAGCGAGTGTATTTGTCTGAGTGCAGAGTCGAAGGATGCACTCAGTTTTGCACTTACAGGAGAATTTTCTCTTAATCTTTTCATTTCAGCCTTTACACCACTTGGTGATTTCTTTAAGATTTATTAATTTCACGATCCAACATTTTACTACTCTTACA